TGTTTCTCTCCTTGACGCCATTGATGAGCACTTGAAAGCTTTAATTTCAGTATTTTTTTATATTTTTAACTTCTATATCTTCCACATTCTCATATGGTGGTTTAATATTGCAATTTGGGGGTTTTGGGAAACAACCGAAAAAATGAGAAAAAAATATTCCATACTTCCTCTGTTCTTTTTTACTTTACTTGACCTGCTTATTTTATCACGCTTGTCAACGCAAAACTTTAACGATCAATAACTTGAATTCTTCATAAGTAAAAATTATAGAAGTTCTATAATATGATAGAACTTTTGAGACGAATTTAAAAAGATCCCACATGAATATGTTTTTCCTTACATATTATTCACAAAAGACGGTCAAAGGAGGGGTAATGAATAGTGTAAAAATCAAAGCGGATCAAATAAAAAAGAACGGAAGAAGTATTAAAAATGGGCATAGTCTTTGGTTTATTGGAAATTGGTATTTGAACTACTATATTGATTTATTATCTCAAACTTTCTTCATAGTATTAATTTTTGACAAAATTGCAAAAAATTGACTGAATTTCGGTGCATAATTATCAATAATTTACCTGGTTATTCAATTTGATAAGATCTTGATATTTGAATGAATTTTGGTGTATAATTGTACTTGATATTCAGCTGTTCATATCAATGGAAGATATCAAGATTATGAGCTTCGAAGGGGGAGAGAGACTGGGAATCAACTGAAAAAGCTTTGAGGAGAGAGAAAAATATCATACAGTAGATTGAAATGGAGTAATAAATAAGGGTAAATTCAAGTTTCTCTCTAAGATAAATCTGTGAATATATCTCCTCTCACAACCTAGTTTTTTCTTTTATTTTTTAAATGATAAAAGCAAAATAATAAAGTGGCACGTAAATCAATGCATAAAGTTGTGAGAGGAGATAAACTTGAATTGTTAATCTCTGATATTAACTGGGGTTCCCTCATAAAATAAGGAAGATTATGTTATTTACAAAATTGTCATTACTTACACCTAATAATCACATCCATCAAAATTTTCAGATCCAACGGTTATAGGATGGTTCACATATTAAAAGAAGTTCTCATATGAAGAGGGTTCTCACTGAACTTATAACCGAGTTACGATAAGAACTAGGTGAATAATAGACACTAGGAACTAATTAGGGCCGTTAGATCTACCTTAGATGCGCGCTTGATGAGCCGCTCAGATTAATTCAAACATATTCCATTCATTTCCCAACCAACTAGCCGCACTCTCTCATTTCTCTCTCCTCCATTGCAACAAATACCTCTATATTTGTTTTTCTATTTTTTTTTTAAATCACGAATTTCAATTACACTGGTTTATCATTAATTGTTTTGTCAATTTAAGGTTCTTTATAGTGAAATTCGTTCTTTTTTATAATTTATGAGGTTATGAAATGGTTATAGCGACTGACTTTGTCAATTTTGGTACTTGCATTTCACTAATTGGTGCTTAAACTTTGATGCACACTAATTGTTTAACAATATTCCCCACTGAATCCTATTATTTTATCAAATTCAAATGTAGATATAAACTAAGTAAAAGTAAAACAATTATATTTAAAAGTATTATCAAAAGACTAAAATTATCATGTAGCAAATTAATTGCGATATATGATTATTAATTTTGTGTTGTACAAAGTATAATAAAATTTCTCGAGATTTTTAATTGCTCATATGTTAGAGTTAATTCTTGCGAAAATTTCTTATGATTGAGAAAATTGTCGAGGTTCTTATGATTGCAAAACTTCTCTACTATTCATCAAGAGCTTACTTCGATCTTAAATTTTCTTTTTATATGGATTTTTGTGAAGTTAGATTTTATGTTTCATTATTATGTTATATTAATTGCTTATTATGTAGTTTGCTTCTATTTTATTTTGATTGGATTAGATTTTAAGTTATTTAATAATGTTGTTTAAATTCAAAGTTTGTACATATTTAATTGATGATCTTCTTATTTGACAAAGATCAGTAGAATTACAGTGAATCATGTACCTGATAATTTAGTTCATAAAGGTAAGTTATGCGAATTGAAGTCTTTCATATTGTTTTTATCTTTTAATCATATTTTTTAATCATGTGAAAGTAGATAAAAATATGATAAAAGTAAATCAATCAGACTCTTATGTATCTTTCATACTTGTAAAATTTTAGACTTGCAAGGATTTGGTTGTTACCATAATCATTGACTTCAGCTTGAATATTGATAACCTTTACTTGTACAATTTAGCTTGAAGGTATATATAGCTTTGGGTCTTCATTAGTGTGGGCCAAATATAAAGAAGTTGCTATTAATTTGAATTCTCATCCATTTATTCCTAGTATTGCCTTAGTTGAGTTTATCATGAATTGTGTGTCATACCATGAATTGTGTGTCATACGAAGTTGCTATCTTCATAGTGCTTGGACACGTAACAACATATGGGAGATGGCTGTCCCTACAAGGATGGGGGCTTGAGAGAACATGTAGGTGATGCAAAATAAGACGAGGCAGGCAATGAAGACAAGCAAGGTTCAATTAGAGATGCAGGTCTCTAGACAATATATCATGGATAAGTCTCATTTACCATATGAACAAATTCTGTTGTGCCTTTTTCTCCCCAACTGTATACTGTGATCAACATAATGCAAAATGTTTGGTCTGAATCATGATCTTGTTTGGTCTGAAATGTGATTGTGTATACATTGTGTAACAATGAAGCTGAAACAACAGACTACAGAGGACCTTTCTTTCAGTAAGTTATGGCAAAGATTGCTAAACTAGATTGAATACTAAAATGGAAGCTAACAGGTCTCCAGAACAGGCATAGCTGTGCCAAATTTCAGCAGCACATTGTGTTTGGACACTCTTAAAGAAATAATTAAAGAACAGGTTTATTATTATTATTAGGTGTGCTAAAACCTATTAGCTCAAATGGTAGAGCACTATGCAAATGCATAGAAAATGTAGGTTCGATTCCTACCTAGGTTGTTTCTAAAAGTAACTAAAAAAAACTCAAAGTAAACCAAATTATCTCAAAAGTAAATCAAAATATCTCAAAAAGTAAATTAAAAGTGAGCTTATATAAAGGTAATCTTCTTTAAGGGAATCCTTCGACTACAAAGTGTGTTAAAACCTATTAGCTCATAGAGCACTATAGGAACTAGGTAAATGTATACAGATGTAGGTTCAATTCCTACATGAGTTCTCTTTATTAGAAAACATAAAACAGTAAAAAGTTATTTAAAATACCTCAAAAGTGCATAAAAATGATTAAAAAGCAAATCAAATTAGCTCTAAGGTATAAGAACAATTAATTAGCTTTTAATAATTAAGTGACTATGGAAACTTTGTTAAAGAGCAAAAATCCGAGTCATTGACTTTCACACCATTACAAGATGAGTCAAGGTATAAGAAAGAAGTATGTGGAACTCAATGTAAAGGTTTTCAAATTAAAAGTAAATAAAACAATAGCAAAAGTAAATAAAATAAATTTCAAGAGTATATGTATAATTAAATCCTTGAAAGTGTTATATAAACATAGAAACTGAGTCATTGGCCTTTAAATCATACAAACGAGTAAAGGTTTTTAAGTAAAAAGTGAATAAAATAATACAAAAAGTATATATAAGTTTTTAAGGTAGATAACTACTTAAATAGACAAAATTAAATAAAAATAGTTTCACTAATAAATAAACCTACGTGTGATTTGAACCCACATCTTTTGTACATTTGCACAATACTCTACCTATTGAGCTAGTAGGCTAGTGTACATTAAAACATTTGAGGTAAGGAAAAAATAATCAAAAGTAAATAAAAAATCTCTAAAGTAAATAATAAAATCTAAAAAGTAAATAAGAAAAATCTAATGAGCTCAAACATTACCCTCGTAATAGCAGAGAAAAATTATCACTCAAGATATATATCCTCACCTTCACATGCCATGGTTTTTGCATAAGCTACACACATAAGAAAAAAAATAAATAAATAAGATAAAAACAACACAATATAGTTGTGCAACCACTCTTTACTGAAATATGACCACAAATAGCAAAATCTGCAATACCCTTATTGCTCTACTACCAAACAGCAACCCCACATAGCAACTCTTCACGCAGCCATTAACATCAACACCACACAACAAAATACAAAATTCAATTATAACCCAGGGGAGTATCAAACTAACATACATGACTCGGTACCAAAAAACAAGGGACAGTTAGAAACCATGCCTAGTATCTTAATAACTGCAAATGTAGGTACAAAATACTAAAAAGTAAATCAAAATACTCCAAAAGTAAATCTAAATATCTTAGAAGTATACCCTTGAAGGCAAAATCAAACAACTAAACCCAGAATTAAAAAGCATAACCACTCAGATAGAACACTGATTTAGAGTAATTAAACAAAATAAAAACAACACTCTAATTTAATAGATAAAATTGAAATCTCAATCGAACAAATAAGACGAAAAAAAAACTCATATCATACAAAACTATACAAATAAAAACAGAACATAAAATCACTAACATAACAATGTGAAATCATTAATCAGATTACAAAAAACCAATGACGAAAACCGATGAACAAATTAATCAAACAATAAACAACAAATAAAAACCCTAATTTCAAACTTGAAACAATTGAAATTAAAAAAAAAAATCGTGAATAATAATAATAGAATGAAGACAAAATAACTTACTTGATCGGAAATAACAAACGACGATGATCCAAATAACAAATTCAAGAGTTTCAAATGTGAAAAATGAAGGAGAAATTCGCAAGAGAGAGAATCAGAATGAAGAGAGAGTAAGTTTGGAGAAGAGAGAGAAAGAGAAAAAAGATACTGGGAAGATTCGAGGTAGTCATTCAAATCCCGAATTACAATTTTACCCTTAATGAAGCGGATGAGATTTCAGCCGTCGGATGATACTCGATCAACGGCTGACAATAGTTCTCAGTTCTCATTATTCACCATGGTTCTCTCTCACACACACATATATATATTATACTTCCTCTGCCCGGAGTTATCTGCAACAAAGGACTAAAATGCGGACTCCTAGGCAAAACTTCTTAAGCAAGATTAATGAAAAGTAAGAGGAGAGAGAAGGGATAATTAAACCAAATTAAAATAAAACACACAATTAAACATTGGAGAACAACCACCCCACGAACCACCAACACCCAACCCACGAACTACCGCACCACCCCACGAACCACCGACACCACCACCAAAACCCACCATCGCACAAACCAAACCACCGAAACCGCCACCCCACGAACCCCCAACACCCAACCCCACTTACGCAACTCCCACGAAACCACCGAAACCAACACTAAAACCCACCACCCCACAAACCAAAACCACCGAAACCGCCAACCCACGTTCCTCCAACACCCAACCCCACTTACGCAACCCCCACGCCGAAACCAACCACCCCACAAACCAAACCACTGATTTCCAGATCTAGAATCGAAATCCACCACACCAAAACCCACGAGTTTAGCAACAACAGTGGCGACGGAAAGGGGTAGGGGATGGTCGGAGAATTGTGCGACGATTTATGGTCTGGGATGGTCGGAGTTTAGCAACAACAGGGGCGACAAAGGTGGTGCTTCGTTTTTGGGCTCGTCTAGGCTGGTGTTTTGGGCGACGAAGGTGGTGCTGGTGTTATGGGCGACGAAGGTGGTGCTGGTGCTCTAGGTTCGTGGTGGTAGGGGCAGCGAAGGTGGCTGTGGTAAGGTGGTAATTAGTTGGTAATTGAGTGTAATTAAAAAATGTAAATAATGTTAAAAATTTTAAGTAAGGGTAAATGTGACATTTTACTACTAAAAATTTACCAAAAAAGGAAATAAAAAACATTGTTGTAGATAATAGCGAGCACCTATTTTTAGTAAATGTTGCAGATAATAGCGGGCGGAGGGAGTACTAAGGAATCATAGCACAACAACACTTTTGTAGTGATTCCAATGATTTTCATCATACTCTCTGTTATCCAAGTATTGTATGCTTTGTTTCAAGAAATTAACCACTACTAAATTGTAGTGGTTATGTAAACTGAATGGAACAAAGATCTGTCATTAAAATTGTATTTTTATTCGCCTTTGAATTTAAAATTAGAATGAATACATTTTATTTCAAAAAGTTAACATAATAACTACCAATAAACATACTAAATCAACACCTACAATATTTTCTTTAATATCCAATCATATAAAGATTGATTAATTCAGCCAAAGTTGTTATGGGAGAAGGCTTTTTTGGTTATTGATAAGGTTTTTGTGCTTATGAAGGATCTTGAGATAGGAGAGAAATCTCTAGAGGTCTCTGTATATTAATGTGGAAATAAAACATGTAATTCATTTAGTTCATATGATTGTTATTATGTAATAATTTCATAAGTTATTATAGTACTTGCATGCATTGAGATCAATGCCAAGAAGAAACACGATGGATTTGACATCAATCTAAATACGATCATAAGAAATGACCACCCCTGAACAATGTTTAATTTTATCATTGAAGGGGCGCAGACGGAGCCAGAGATATTGTATCATCTCTTGCGATCATAAGTGGTTGTTCAAATTTGACAATCTCTTCACTATACACACAAGAAAATTTATTAAGTAAATGAAATATATATTGAATAAAAGAAGATTAAAAGATTAATAAAAGTTTAAATTAAAAAAAATTTACCTTTACAATGAATTTTTGGCACAAATTAATAGTCAACCACTAATTGACACATTTCTAGCATTTCTTTCATTCTTAATTTGTTCATTCACTTACAAACAAAATGAACTTTAACTCCTTTTTCTCCACATTGTATCGAACCCTTTACCTTTGAAGCTAACTCTTCATCATGAATGTTTGTAAGAACTTTGCAGGTTGCTTCCTTAGCCACAGTTGGTTGCGGCAGACCAGTATCAGCCACTTCATTAGCTAACTCCTTCTGAATGTTACTATGCAATTTGGCTACTTCCTTAATAACATCCCTTTCCTTTTTCTGCATCTGCACCCAATAGCGGATCATCCGAGGGGCCAATAGGGACCTGGCCTCTGGTCCAAGCCCGGAACCTATTAGGGTGATTGTTGTAATTTATTAATATAGTCTAGTAAAAAAAATGTACGAGTTGGCCCAACTTTATGTACTACGTATATGGTTTCTAACATATCCTACAACGGCAAAGCTAAAGCCTAAAACTCACTTTTGAGTATTTTGACCTTTCCACCTACATTATCTCCTAGCATCCAGATTCTTTAGTCCATTATTATACTTGTTTCTCTATTTTCTTAAAAACCTTAAGATGTACTAGCGAAGTATAAATTTGGCGATATTGTTCGCATTTGTTTTTATTACTTCAGTTGTATAAATGTATTTACAATGTAACCCATTTAATTTTGATCGGCCCCCTAAAAGAATTTTTTTCAAGATCCGCCACTGTCTGCACCAAATGGCTGATATATCAGCCCTTCATTTATAGCAACTTCAGAGGTTTTCTTCATTGATACGGATAATATGTGGATCGTCAACATCATCATCACCATCATTCTTTTCAAGGTTTTCCATTCTGTTTTGCTCTTCCCAAGTAGAATACAAACATTTGAGACATCCTTCAAACTCATCATAAATCTTCACAACTTCATCACATAACAAAAAAAAAAAAA